AATAAAGATCTCAACTGTCACAGAATATAAATTTTTTTATCAATAGAAAAATAAGTAATGCCAGGTGCCTGTATTTACTTCAAATAACATCCAATACCTCCATTCTCAAAAAAAAAAAAAAAAAACAAAAAACGCACTCATTTACACTGTCAGAGGAAATGCACTGAGGAAATGCACTGGTGGCGACGTGTTTATAACCATTCATGACCATTGAACATCTTTTACGATATTTTATCTACACAACCTAGCTGCAGTTAACTGTAGCAATATGATTTTATATATTATTTGTCTTTGGCCATAACGCTACAGGTCCCGAAATGCGAAATTGTGCAATTTACGGCGCAAGATATTTTGCGCCATGTTTGGGAGAATTTCTCCACTTTACAATTTCGGTAAATCATTTACCTTTTACCCCCTATATCCAGACACATTCTTAAACCAATCTGTATATTTTATCCTCCTCTCAACCCTTTATAGTCGTCTCTACAGGCGATAAACTAGCTTGATTTGAATTCTCCAAGGGATTGCAGAAAATTATAATTCAAGCGAGTTTATCACTTGTAGAGACGAATATAAAGGGTTGGGAGGTAAATGAAATATACAAATTTATTTTAAAATGTGTTTAGAATTATGGAGGAAAAGGTAGAAGATTTATCAATGTTGGAAATTAGAGAAATTCTCCCAAACAGTGCGCAAAAAATCTTGCGCCGTAAATTGCACATTTTTGCATTACGGGATCTGCAGCGTTACATGGTCAAAGACAAAAATATATATAACCATAACGCTACAGTTCTGCAGCTACAACGACACATACATACTTATCATTTTTGTACGAATCCTTCAGAGAGAATTGGTCAATTGCGTATAAGGAAGAATCGTAAATTTTAACATTTTGCGATGCCTCTTCTGGAAACCAGAATACTCTTAAATTTTGTGTTGTTTACATACAATGCACAATAGGGTAATAGTTCCCAATCATCGATTGAAATATGAGCAAATAAACTATCATAATATTTTCATAAAATGCTTTGAAGTGCACTTCTCCATACGATAGTAAATCGGCTGTATTTTAAGATAATCCTTCAAAATGCTAAGATGGTAGGCTTTCATGAAACTTTGCATGTAAAGTACAATGTAGCACTGAAGTTGTGTAGTCTACATATAATATAAAAATATTAAAATTTCTTTTTTCTTTTTCTCTTTTTGTTTATGAACTCTTTTTATTTATCAAAACAGATCTGAATTCATGGAATGATTTTAAACAGATTGAATTTCTTTCAGCAAAATATTTGTTGAATTCAGATATTTTAATTGTAGGTTAAAAAAAAAGAACGAGAGACATTATAATGCAACTAACAGAAATGTATGGCACGCCAAATTCACAAAAATGAGATAATCATAGTTTCACAATCGATAAACTAGGTTTATCGGTTGTAAACTATAGTTTACAAACCGTAAACTATAATTAACAACGTTAATCTATATTTCACATTTGTAAACCATAGTTAACGCGATAATCTATGTTTCACAACCGTAAACTATACTTAACACCGAAAACAATCATTTGCGATTGCAAAACATAGATTATCTGATAAATACAGTTTCACAATTTGTAAACTATAGTTTACAAACCGTTAACTATAGTTATCGATCTGATAAATATAGTTTCACAATTTGTGAAACTATGATTAACAACTCTTAACTATAGTTTACGATTGTAAACTATAGTTTACAAACCTGAATCTATGTTTATCAACAAAATCTATTGTTAACGCTTTATTACAGACAGATAAACTTAAATTAACATTCGTAAACTATAGTTAACAACCGTTAAATATAGTTTTACAGATGAAAACTATACTTAACGAATCGTTAACTATAGTTTACGGTTTGTAAACTATAGTTTACAGTCGATAAATCTAGTTTATCAATTGTGAAACTATGATTATCTCATTTTTGTGAATTTGGCGTGCCATAGAAATGACAACATACACGAAATGGAGAATACTCCTCCATGGCACCTGATCCCACCTCTCATGTTCTGAGGTCCATGTTTGCTTTATCTATTTATTTATGTTTGTTATGCTCCTATTGTGTTTTGTTTTATGCATGGACTTCGGAGCTCGAATACTGTTCGTATTCTCCATATATTTATTAGGTAACCTGATTCACTCAGGTGACCTATTGCTATCTGTTTTCGTCCGTCGCCGTACGTCGTTCGTCGTCAATCGGTCGTAAACTTTTTTTAGCTTCTCCTCTGCAACCACTCAATGAATTTCCACCAAATTTGGCATAAAGCATCTATGCGTGAAGGGAAACAAAAATTGTGAATTTCATGGTCCCTGTCCCTCTGGGGCCTGAAGGGTGGGGCCAAAACCACTAAAATTAATGCAATCTTTAAAAATCTTCTATGCTCCTGGACATCAAGCAGTCAAACTGTTAGCATGAATGTAATGACCATTACAAGTCCTCTACCAAAATTGTGAAATTCATGGCCCCAGGGTCAGGGGTTCTAGTGCTAGGGCGGGGCTCTATTGATTGTATAGTGAAAATGCATTATTTCTTTATAAATCTTCTTCTCTGCTCCTGCGTATTAAAACAAGAGGCCCATGGGCCTCATCGCTCACATGAGCACTGTGGCTAGGAAAAAGTAGAAATTAGTTTATTATTGAAAAAATTAAATCCAAAAGTAGTCCCATGACCAATCATGGCTTTGCGATTCTCGAGAAGATGATTTTTAAAGAATTTTCTTATATATTTCTATGTAATCTTTGGTCGGCCATTGTGACCTCGCCCTACCCCCGGGGGTCATGATTGAACAAACTTGAATCTACACCACTTGAGGATGCTTCCATATAAATATGATCAATTATGGCTTTGCTATTCTAGAGAAGAAGATTTTTAAAGAATTTTCCTATATATTTCTATGTAAAACTTTGGTCGGCCATTTTAGCCCCACCCTACCCCCGGGGGTATAGATTTGAAAAAACTTGAATCCACACTTCCTGAGGATGTTTCCATACAAATATGATCAATTATGGCTTTGCTATTCTCGAGAAGAAGATTTTTAAAGAATTTTCCTATATATTTCTGTGTAAAATTTTGGTCGACCATTGTGGCCCCGCCCTACCCCCGGGGGTCACGATTTGAACAAACTTGAATATACACTACCTGAGGATGCTTCCATATAAATGTGATCAATTATGGCTTTGCTATTTTTGAGAAGAAGATTTTTAAAGAATTTTCCTATATATTTCTATGTAAAATTTTGGTCGGCTATTGTGGCCCCGCCCTACCCCCGGGGGTCATGATTTTAACAAACTTGAATCTACACTACCTGAGGATGTATTCCCATTATTTTCATCTTTCCTGGCACAGTGGTTCTTGAAAAGAAGATTTTTAAAGCATACCACCAAATTTTCATTAATTCCCAATCATCTCCCCTTGAATGAAGGCGTGGCCCTTGATTTGAACAAACTTGAATCCCCTTTACCCAAGAATGCTTTGTGGCAAGTTTGGTTGACATTGGCCCAGCGGTTCTTGAGAAGAAGTCGAAAATGTGAAAAGTTTACAGACAGACAGACGGACAGACAGACAGACGCCGGGCAAAATGTGATCAGAAAAGCTCACTTGAGCCTTCGGCTCAGGTGAGCTAAAAACTTACTAAGTACATATTTATGATGTGGAAGAATGCCTCTTCCAAAATTGTGAAATTTATGGCCGCTGGGTCAGGTGTTCTGGTGTTAGGGCGGGGCTCTATTGATTATATATAGTGAAAATACATCAATTCTTTGAAAATCTTCTTCTCTGCTCCTGGTTATTAAATAAACTAACTAAGTTGTGAATTTTTTGGCCCGAGGGTCAGGGATTCTGGTGTTAGGGTGGGACTTTATTGATTATATTGTGAAAATACATTAATTCTTTGAAAAATCTTCCTCTGCTCCTAGGTATTAAATAAACTAAGTAAGTACAAAGTTATAATGGGGAAGAATGCCTCTTCCAAAATTGTGAATTTTATGGCCCCGGGGTCAGGGGTTCTGGTGTTAGGGTGGGGCTATATTGATTATGTAGTGAAAATACATTAATTCTTTGAAAATCTTCTTCTCTGCTCCTGGGTATTAAACAAACTAAGTATATAGTTATGATGAGGAAGAATGCCTCTTCCAAAATTGTGAATTTTATGGCCTAAGGGCCAGGGGTTCTGGTGTTAGGGCGGGGCTCTATTGATTATATAGTGAAAATACATTAAATCTTTGAAAACGTTCTTCTCTGCTCCTGGGTATTTAGCAGATTAATTACCTAATATATAGGTATGATGAGCAAGGCCATTCTTCCTGCATTGAGAATTTCAAGGCCCCTGGGTCAGGTGTACCATAGAGGGGTGTCTACTTAAATACTGAAAATGAATTAATTGTTTGAAATCTGCTCCTTGGTATTAATCAAACATTTTTGATACGCAAATGTGCCTTTTCAAATATTGTGCAATGTGTGGACCAAGGGTCAGGGGTTCATGTGTGGTAGTGGCACTACTGATTATTGCTGAATATTACTGATTAGTTGAAATGCATTTTTTGTTCCCCTACTCTGTCTAGGGGTATTAAGTAACCAAACTAAACATGCTAAGTGTATAGTTATGATTAGCAATGGTACCCCCTTTCAAAATTGTGAATGCCATGATGTATAGTTTAAAACATGAACCAAATTCAATCTTTGGAAAGTTGTTGCATGATGCTCAGGTGACCTACAAGGCCCATGGGCCTCTTGTCTCTTTAAAAAGGCTTAGGGTATCTAGCTTGATAGTCTATTGAGTGAACGCTTTTCCTTAACCTACATGTATGTATGTATCTAAAGGACAAGAGTATTTTACATAATTAATAATATCTCGTAATTAATGGTTCTCGTATAGTTTGACCCCAAACCAACTCAATGTACATGTACTTCCAGCAAGGTTTTATTGGTATAGGGGGTTCTTGTATGTTTTCCCCACCGTAATATAGAGTTCATTCGGAAGAATCAGGTGACAGCATCTGTGCATATTGACATGTTCCTATTAATTATACTCTGAAAGAATTATGATGCAGGTGGACCAACCGTCATATATCTGAGTTGCACAGTGCAGCCCTCCTGAATATTATAATCATAAAGGGTGCACCCATTTTTTAGTAATTTCCCCATCAACATCAGTTGTTAATTGTCAGGGACAAATCCCTCACAATCTTGAATCCTACGTTTGACACTTTCGATAGTATCTGACAGTTTAACTGTAAGAGGTATAGTTCTATTGTATATCTTAACAAAAAGATTCATTTTTTCTTCCAAACGCAGAACTAAGCAAACAGAAAACCCCCGTCGAATGCCGTATTCATCAAGTGAATGATCATCAGAGAGCGGTTTTCCTTCAAAAATCAATTTCTGCTGTTCTACGGGAATTCTTAGTCGTTCCTGTATCCTGATCTTGACATTTTCAATGGTATCTGATGGATTTACTTCAAGTGTAATGGTTGTTTCGGTAGGGGTCCTGATAAATAGCTTCATCCTTCGATTCTGTTGCACACGCAGAAGAATTGACCTATTCTGAATGTTGTAATCAAAAAGGGTGCAAACATTTTTCAGTGTTTTTCCTAAAAATGACAATACTTGATTATCTGGAGGAATTCCTTCTTTGTCTCCAATCTTTGTTTTAATATTGTCAATAGTGTCTGTTAGTTGAACTTCAAAAGGGATTGTTCTTCTTGATAGTGTCTCAACAAAAATTTGTATTTTTTCTTGCAAACGTGGAATCAAGCGAATCGTAGATTCTGTCTGAATGTCACAATCGTAGAGAGAACAACCATCATTGAGTGGTTTATCCTGAAACACCAATTTCTGTTCTTCTTCAGGCATTCCCAGTCTGTCTTTCATCATAGTATTGACACTTCCAATTGTATGCGAGGGCTCAACTGCAAGTGTCATGGTTCCCTGCGAGGGAGTTTTGACAAATATCTGCATTCCTTCTTTCAGACATATAATCAACTGAAGAGTTGATTATGGTTGAATATTGTAATGGGAAAGGGTATGGTCATCTTCCACCTTTTCTTTCCCAAATATCAATCTCTGCTGATCAGGGGGATAACCATCTTTCCTTTCAATTTTATTCTTTATAGTTTTGATGGTGTACGAGGGTGCAGCCTCAAGAGTAATTGTCTTTCCGGTTAGTGTTTTCACACATATCCTCATGGCTCTAAAACAAAAAAGAGCAAACTAATGTCTCATTACCGCTGGGTCCATGAACTCGAACCATTGAGTTTTGAATTAAGGGGGAAAACATATATTGCATAACTTTTTAAATCTTCTTGTGAAAGACATGAAGGCATGTTTTACATCGTGTTTCCAGGTAAAGAGTATACATGTATATACATAAGTAACAGACCCCAATTAATGATTTTTTAAAAAAAAAAAATTACATTACATACGGACGGACATACTTACAGACGGACGGACGGACATCCCGATCACTATACTAGTATACCCTGTCACTTTTCAAGCGGGGTATTAAAATTAAGATAACGAACAATGATCGATCTCAACAACAACAACAAAACAAAAACAAAATGTGAACAAAGCATAAAACACAGATAAACCCCCTTCCAAAATTTCTACAGGTGGAATCAGGTGACTAGAATGAGTAAGCATCCCTTGTCGACAGAATGTGAACCTGTACATTTCTAGCTCTGTGTATACATACTTTCTATGATGTATGTTTAAGAGATTCCACATTCGATTTATTATTAATGGTATCTGTATTATAGTCATAAACTAGGAAAGACCATGATTCTCTGTGGGTTTCTGTTGCGTTACGTTTACAGGATTAATGAGATCGACCAGTGTTTTTTTTTATATTTTCAGTACATTCAGTACTTTAATTTCATATTGATTTAATTGTTTTATTCGATTAAAACTTTCATGGAAATTCAAAAAACCTCAATTTATTCTTACTTCATTTTGAATAGAGATAAGTAAAAAAAAAATACATTACAGAATATTAAAGGTCGATAGGTATTTTGTAAACACTAGTATGTTGATATTCTTCTAATTTATGAAATATATTCACAAGAAACATATATTGACGCAAGCGTCAAAAATCGGCCGCAGATCAATTAATTGTTCCTTTCATGAAGTAATTATAGAAACTGAAATTTGCGTGTTCCTGTTATCAAAATTTCTTTTATTTATCTGTTAGAATATCTCCTTGACATGAAAGACTTCCTACGACATTGACGATATTCTTCATGAATATTACATGTATAAGCAAACTATATATAGATCTCGGTGGAAGTTTGATGTTTATGTATAGTTTTTACCTAAAAAGTACAAAACTAAAGTTTAAACTTAGCTATAACTATAGATGTAGCTTTACTTTCATAAAAACGCAATAAATATGTGGGCTCCTCGCTAGCTCTCATAAGATGTTAACCACCACCCCCCCTCCCCAACTCACTTTAGATCCAACACTACATTTTCTCTTTGTTTTGGTGTTGAGATGTGGCGGGAAATGCCAAGGCACATTGTAAAACGCGCTTTATCCTTGTCACCTGGACCAAAATCTCTTAAGATTCTGTGCGTTTAAGAAAACAATATTTCATCATATTTTTGAAAAATTTCCATAGGAAATGTATGAATATGCACGTTATTTTAAAATAAATACAATAAATCCTGTTTAAAAAGAGAAAGTAAAATTGTTGATATACGATGCGGTCTTTGTTTTAGACTATTCCTAACACTCGTGCTAATTTTTTCCGCACTTCTGTCATGTCACAGTTTGACAATCAGGATTGGATGAAACATTTACCCATTATTTATAAAAAATTTAACTGTATGATTATTGTGCTTTTTGTTAAACATTTAGACAATCTTTGTTTAATATTCTATAATATGAATGTTAAAAATTTTTATTTAATAAATTGTTTTAACTCCGCAGAAACGCACGACGACTTCAAACTTTCATATCAAATAACCGACCGCCTCCTGGCGGCCGGTAATAACTGCTAAAATCTACAGAGATTCACAGCCAAATGCTTAATCGTAAAACTTTTTGGAGTATCAATAAGAAATTATTACCTAAATAAATGTCCTTATAATAATCTATCGACTTATGTAAAGATCATTCAAATGAAGGAAGAGACATTTTACCTTATTTTTCTTTCTCTTTCACAACGACTGTTTGTGAGGATTCCTTATCGATTCTTGTTTCGTTTTGGTTTGCAGGGACATAAGGGACATTTTTATTTTCAATATACGATGCATTTAATTGTCCCCCGCTTTCGCGAAAGCGAAGGGACATTAAATCTCATTCGTCTGTCAGTCTGTCAGTCAGTCTGTATGTCCGTCACAAAAACTTTAACCTTGCTCATAACTTTTGATTAAGTGGAGCTATGACTTTCATATTTCACATGTGTGACAAGACCTTTGATCTTTGGATACCACCAAATTTGACCTTTTGACTTTGACCTTGGATTTTGACCCAATTTTACACAAAAATTCCACTTTTACTTTGGTAATAACTTTTGAAAGGTAGCTACTACGGCTTTCATATTTCACATACATATTCTTTGTGGCAAGACCTCTCATTGCAACCAACAACTTTGACCTTTTGACCTTGATCTTGGAGATTTCCGTACTTATGAAAAAACTTTAACCTTGGCCATAACTTTTGAATGGTAAGGGCTAGGACTTTCATACTTCACATATGTAATCATTGTGAGAAGACCTTTCATTGGATACCATGAACTTTGACACTTTGATCTTGACCTTGGAGTTTGACCTATATTTACTCTTTAAAAACTTTAATCTTGGCCATAACTTTTGAACGGTTCGGGCAAGGGCTTTCATACTTCACGTATGTAATAATTGTGGCAAGACCTTTCTTAAGAAACTACCAATATATTTAATCTATTTTGTCATACGGGGTCATCAGGTTCACTTCCTTATAACTTTTGATTGAGAAGAGAAAGGGCTTTCATATCTGACATGCGCATTACCTTTGACAATATTTGACACAATATGTCATAAAAAATGACATTTCACCCACAAAGACACCGAAAATGGGGGACCACAATTCTTTGAATTTGCTTGTTGAAATCTAAGTCAAAAGAAATGTTAATGAAGTGCGTCACCTTTAAACTAAAATCAACCATATTTCATTGACTGCAATTTAGTAAACGCAGGGAAAAGTGGCTTACATGATATTGATGTGATTATCTTTTTATTTGAAAATTATGTGAAAATAATATGAAAATTATATAAATATATTTTTATGTGAATATCATCTGAATAAAAGTTTATATGATATTCACACAAATCTTTTTTTTTTTAACTTTCATGTGGTTTTCTTTGCATGATATTTATGCGATATGCTCTTCATGTAAACTTAGTTTAAAGTTTAAACAGACTAAGAATGCATTAGACTGCAGAAAACACATAAATCGAAAGAACATAAATTCATTTAAGACAATGATAAATTGATAATGATACAGAAATGAAACCCAAAGATACTTTGATGCTGATCTGTTACATAATAAGTGGCCTTACCGAACATAGCTATAAGAGGATATGTAATGTGGCAAATATGGCGGCTCTAACAGGTGCCCCGCCTCAGGACACTTATTCATCTGGAGTCGATGTCGGTGCTCATTGGGTACAAGTTTCATAAAAAATTATCTCTTAGTAAGATTTGGATTCAGAATATTGTCACCTTCTCCCACAATGCAAAGGAGGGAGGCAAGACTGGTCTATGCCTTTGGTGATAAAAATCAAGAGGTTGATTGGTTGTCTTTTTTCATACATGTGAAATGGGATTGTATAAACATGAAGCCTTTGTATAACCGCAGAAGCCTTGCACAGTACAGGGGAAAAATCAAAACACTTTCAAATTAACATCACTCTTCCCTTAAATGTAATAAATAGACCATGCATTTCATTGCATGATTAAATATATAAAATTAACATAAAAATGATTGAAACGCATGTGATACCTGAAGGAGTGAAAAGATCCTTCCATCACTTTTTCTCTTCGAACACTGGTGTGTTTGTACCATCTGTAGTCTGTACGCTTTCGAAATATAGCTAACGGCGTTGTTGCGGATCAAAGAGCTCCTCCCAGGAGAGGTGTCCTTCAAAGACAGTCAATGTCTAAAGAATGGGCGTGGTCACGTTCCTCTTTAGTATTGAAAGAGAAGATTGGAATCCAAGCGTATCTGTGGAGAATGAAAGGTTTTATTTCAGACATCTGAGACCATTTTGGTGTTAAATTGTTAGTAACTTTGTGTAGTGCTCAATTCGTTCGATCAAAAATAATTTACAATTTATGCATAAAATAGTGTTTTATATATTTTAAAAAAATCATGTCTCCACATTAAAAAAAATCATGCGTTTATTAATAATACATGTATGATATTTTTTTCTATTGATATATTTATGCAAATAGAATTCTTATGGGTCATGCTATAATTAGCGCGTTACTTACTAGCAGGGATTCTTGTCTACCCACCATCACGTGACCTTCGTGTGTAGAGGTAAAACATCCACAAGAACAGAATTTATGCGATATTCCTGAAATGAGGCCTTAAAAGTAGCAAGTACATGTATATTCTGGGGCAGGACTTTCACTTTTATATGAACTCTCTCATAATCTAGAGCCTCCTTTGGGTCCAAAGTTATTTTCATCCCAGGCATATTAAGCAATACATGTATGAACGACTGAATGTTTACAAAGTTGTAATGTGATTAAGTCTAAAACAGCTCGGTGATTTGTTTTACTTTTACTGGACAACATTAAAACTCAACCTTTACTGTATAGCTGACAACTGTCTTGATGCAGATCAGCCATATTGCAACATAGGAAACCGCTTTACAATGATTATTGTTTGAATTAGAAACTCTAAGGAATTGCTAAGAATAAACCTTTAAGGGATTTTATAGGAATGGTTTTGTCTGGAAGTGCAGAACACTAGGAAAGAGATCCCTTCTCTACATCATGATTGTTGTCAAAGTGACAGCTCAATATATTTTTCACATATGAGGCAGATTTTGATATTGCCATTAAAATAGTGAAACTGTTCTGCTCTCCTTAGCCAAAGAGTCAAGTGACC